TGCACGTCAAAATATAATTTGTGTACTCAGGATATTAAAATGCCTCAATGTTTCTTTGTATTCTAAAGCAATTATCGGTGGAAATTGACTCAAAGGCAAACGATGTGGTAAATAATTTTGTAGCTTGAAACTTTTGACAAATCTTTCATGATACTAGTTCCAGTTCTAACTGGAACAATTTTTGATTAAAAAGTTATGTTATTTAAAGCAATATCAAAAGTTTCGTTTTCCAAACAAATACGAAAGGAAAATATATTATTAATCTTTTCTTCAGTCAACGCATCCTGATACTCTGAGGTTGAGTAGTTCAGATTTCCGTCAAGCTGAAAGGGCTTCTTAAACCAACTAGGGCACTGCCACCACAGTCAGTCAGTTTATTACAAGCTGTTTGGGAAAATTCCTCTAGAAGCAAGATCCGCAGATTAAATTCAGACGAAGCATAATTCCAATAAAACCTCAGTAAAACCTCTAATTTCCGACTTTCGGTTAACTATATATGAGGTTTTCCATCTACGAAGGAAATTTAAGTAAAGTTTTCCATCTACGATGTAGTGATGATAACCATATACAATTTTCGAATCGGTCAATCCCAGATTTGCAGTTACTCAAAATATTCCTCATAGAATACTTTAATAGTAAATGAGCTGCTCTCAGCTCCAATTTAGGCACATATAAAGGCTTAATAGGAGCAACCCTAGTCCTTGCGTCTAGAATATTTATTTTACATTCGCATTCAAGCTCTTGCCGTGAATAAATCACTATTGCGCAAATTCTGAAGCATCACAAAATGCGTCTAATTACATTTTCTCTGCATGGATTACCTAGAATTTTAACAGTCTCAACAGCTGGAAATTTCCTTTGAAATTGAATCCATTTCCCAGCAATACCATTAAGAAATGGGTCATCCCAGTCGGGATTAAAAATCAAAAGCTATTGATACATGATCTTCACCATTATTGTGAACCAAGAAGATCAAAGATCTTCGCTCATTGCGATATTTTTCGCTTAGTGAACTTTTCTTCGACTGCTAAGCAAGTCTGAAATACAGACGCATCTGACATTGAGTCCTAGTACAACTCTAAGACCTTAGAAATTCCAGATCAAGAGTGGACCAATTCCGTGGCTCAGCTAATACTGACTTAGAAAAAGGCAAATGGTTTGCCATTTCCTTAATTTAAAACTTCTAGCTACTAATGCCTCAGATAACTGCCTACAAATATCAAAAGCCTCTTCAGGATGTTTCGAACCAGACAAAAGGTCATCCGCGTAGAAATCATTTTTTCATTTTCATAGTCTGCAGCGATTTGTTTCAACATCTCGTTGCCAAAAATGAAGAAGGAGCCATACCATAAATTATCGTGTTTAATCAATACTCCCGTATTTTGTCTTCCTAGTTATCTCTCCGTATAATTTTTTGGAAGTTTCTACCTTCTCCCAACATAAGAATTTGTAGGTACATTTTGGTGATATCAGCTTCAAATACCACACTAGTGCGTTCCGAAACTTGTAAACACCGACACTATATCATGCTGTATAACTGCACCTACATATAATATAGAATTTAGTGACTGTCAGCATCGAACACGAAGCATCGAACACCACACACAATTTTGTCGTTTTGCTATACGGCTTTAAATACAGAATAGAGTGAAAAGTTACATGCATTTTTAGACAAACCGATTTATGATTTAACTAGACTCGTATGAACCAGCTCTTCATATTCAGTCACAAATTTCTTATAACCTTTTCCAACCTAGGATTTTGCTTAAATTTAGTTTCCATGGCAAATACACTTGAATCTATTGCTTCTCATGCGTCTCCCAGTTTTTCAGTGGAATACTGAAATGGAAGCTTGGTGACGACTCTATGTCAGAATTGACCTACTAATCATCGTGAAAATGCCTTTCGCAGTATTTCTCTTCATCTCTTAACCTATTAACCTTTCGAGGCAATTGTTCAATTTCCCAAAACCACCTCCGTGTTTCCTCAGTGCGACGGTGTTTTCAGCACGAAAGCTATAAAAAGCAACTGGCACTTAATTATCAGAATTACCTGAAAGAATTCAGCCGAAATAAGTGTTTTGAGCTGCTGCCGAATCTTTAATTATGTATGAATGGAAAGAAAAGTGAAAATAAATAATCACCGCCAGTAATAATATGAATTGTTTTTTTATCAATCTCAGGATCAACTATGTTGTTATTTTATTATTTAAAGCATACTTGTTTTGATAAAAAGACCAGATTTTCCTACACAAACTTCTAATTTTTAAGAAGTACGGTGTTGCCTAGCTTCAAATATATTCTTCCTTCTCGTTCTCATTTTGTTCCTTACCATTTCTTTTTCCAGCATTAAAGCGAAGCGGAAGTGTAAAATGGAGGTAATTTAGTTCGGAACAAAGAAATCGCCGCTCTTACTCATTGACAGGTTGGCGAAACTAATTGTCGCCTGTGGCGAAGGGCCACTGAGAGACAATTATGTATCCTCGTTTTCAACTTGTAGAGCACTGATGACGAGGATAATTTAAAGTACCTGCTATATGTCGCTTAAAGCACGGAAATGATGCTGAAAACGCTTTTCCTCTCTTGTTTATACACCAACAAATATTAATTGTTCTCATATCTATTAATTTATTATCTTGATATTTAATTATTTGTTACAGTGCGTAATCATAATTTAATTAATGATTTAATTAATAATCTTTATCATTATATAAGAATTATTCAGGAACTAAATTAATACATATGATTACAAAATTTAAATCCTTTTCTTAAATTTTATAGGGTTCTGCTATGTCTATAAACTTGTGTCAATGTCCTGTAGATTATGTTAGACTGTAATGAATTATCGCTTTAGTCTGTAACGATGACTAAGTCTTAAGAAGGTCATTCTTAAATGAATAGAAGGCACTATTTCTGCTACAGACGAACCTCTGCTACTTTCGAGTATTTTAAAATTCAAATATAGGAATACAGAATAAGACTACACACGCTATAGACTACAAGCTGGCTTACCAGAGCGTATTTCAGACGTCGATGCTAAAGCCGCTAAAGATGCTAAAGCCGCAATAACTTTCATAGAGTGGGTGATAATACGTAAAAGCAAAGCGAGATTTCTAAAAGCTCTTATTCTAAACCATTCGAATTCTCGGTCTAAATAAACAATAGCCGCTTTGCATTTGGGTGAGGACTATGGATAGAAGTAAAAGTACAACTTATAATGATTGGTTAATTAACATAAAAATCCTGTAATTTTTGTATACAGATACAAAATAGAATATTGATATGTAGAATGCATCTATATATATTTTATCTATTTATATACATAATTATAGGAATTTTATATTTAGATAGTGTAGAAGGATGTAGAAGAAAAAGTGTAAAATTGATAATTATATAAAAGAAAATTGCTAACACGTTAAATTTAAATATCCTCTTGTAAAAGGTTGAAGGTGAATTTAAATATTAAAATACAACTGTAAAATAAGCATTCAAAGACGTGGAGCATTACTAAATAAGAATTAAAGTACTACAAAGAAAGAACAAAAATCAGGATCATGAAAAACAAATACTCAAATAAAAAAATAATAAAAAATATATATTTAAATTTTTTCAAGCGAAAAAGATAAATATTTCGTTTATTCGTTATTTCATCATGGTATTTATTTAAAAAATTTTTAATTCAGCAATTTCAGCAATTTTTAATTCATACTGAAATTTTAAACGAATTCCCTGAGTTTTCATTTGGTATATTTTTCGAATGTGAAATAATTTTGCTGAATTTTTGTCATTCATTAAAGACTTTTTTTGGAGGGGGGGGGTGTAATATTAGCATTTTTAAAATTTACCCTCTGCAGCTTAATTATAACTTTAAGAAATGATTAGTCAGCTAATTTACTGACTATTAAGTCTGTAACTATGAAAATAGTGTTATATCCTACTGTTACAACTTTTTTCAGTTTGTGATTTTATATAGGAACAAGCTAATTTTAGCTAATAAAGAAAGCTGATATTATGAAACATGAAAATGGCTTTCACGTTTATTCCATTCTTCTCAAGAACGTGAAGCAGAAAAATTTTATTAGTTACTTTTAAAATCGGATTTGTTGAAGTGGCTTCAGCAAGAACAAATAATAATTTGCAATATTGTTCCGCTTACTCTCCAGTTAAAGCGAATGCCTCTGAAGTTATCTACGGAGTTTATTTACATCCACGGAAATGTTTTTTAGGTAACATTTTTGCTATTCATAAAACTTTTCTCACTCCATTCCAGATGTCATATCGAGATGTGCTTCTTCCAGTATTTTATTAAAGTTAAAAAATGACAGCTCTTGAAATAAAATCTTTAAGTTCTTCAAAATGAACAATTCCGTATTTGATAACATAAAAAAAATTATTTAAGCTTTTTGAAAGCAAAAAATATTAGCTGTAACATCTAAGCATTCAACTAGTTGCATTTCACACAAAGGCTCATTTTTAAAAATAAAATTTCCTGTTGTCATTTCGGGAAAGCATAATTTTTTTCTTTTACTTGTGAACTTGAACTCGATATCTTCATTATTTAAAAATCAAAACTTTTTTTTCTTACCTTCCGCAAAAGTTTTCGTTTTAAAAAATGTCACAGAATAGTATACCGTTACATTTAAATTAGCAACTAGCTTTCGGCGTTTTTGACATTGTCTGCAAACGAAGATTGTCCTTAGACGTATATGATCCAGTTCGCGCTCAAAGGTTTTACATATTTGAGATGTAATTTGTATTACATATTATTTTGAGCAAAATAGTTACAGTTTATTTCATATTTAATGTTTTGGTTTTTGATTTAATACTTTAGTGGTATTAATAATAAAATGTCAAATAAACTAAAATGTATAATGGGAAAATTCATTAATTTCACAAACTATATTTTTCTTTCTTCAGATTTTGTTTACGTAAGGAAATATATATGAAACAATTAAAATCATGTTCGCTTATTTTCTTTGCATGAAATTATTATGTTCACAGGTGCACCTGAGGAGCAGTTTTATTATGAATGGTGTTTGTGTCAGGTGGAAAGGTTCTTTGGATTTGGAAAAGATGGACGGAGTCGGGTGCTTGGAATTTGATGAGGAACTGGCTCAGGTAAAATTGTGTAAAACTCCATATATATCTATAAACATTGCGTTTTACTGCTATTATTACAGTAAAAAATTAGATTTCCTATTTAGAGAAGTTCCGTTTCTATTGCTGAAACTATTTTTATATAATTTTATATCTTAGTTTAGGAAATTTCCAGTTGCAAATAGAATCAAAATTTAAGAAAGTAAAGCCTGTTAGGGGAAGGTTGCTATCGATGGACCACTTTTACAAAATAATCCTTAAAATAGTCAAATTTAGCACTTTTACAGTTTTGTACCTGTTAATATAAACCATGACTTTCCATCCAACACATCTAGGAACAGATGTTATAATTATGAAATGTTCAGTAAATATTAGAAAAATAAAAATAGGTGCCACTGGCCAAATGAAGGTAAATCTGTTGCCTTCATTGAGCCAGGGAGTTTCTATGAATGGGTCAAGAGCTATTTCCTTTCTAATACAGTATCCTCAATGCTAGTTAATGAAAGTTTTAAAACTATTTTGAGCATGATTCGTAAACATAAAATACTGGTTAGAAACTAACACAAGCCACTGAAAGAAGATTGAAACATACCCATTACTGCTTCCCATTATTCACAAGGAATCAGGAGAGGGGTTTTAGTTTAGTCTATATAATCATAAAACAGGCCTAATGCGAGAATCTAGGAAATAACATTGAATTTCGTTTATTAGAAATAATTTAATGAAAATGAGAATTTGAGGGTAATTTGTAATTAAGCTAATAGAAAAAGAACAATAACCATATCTTGAAAACTTTCAAATAGCATAAAATTATTATTAAGCATACTATTAATATTTGGCTATAAATCTTACACAAATTATTGCATCAATTATTCGTTCTTGATGAGTTCAGTCGTATTTTTTGCAATAATACAGTTTGATCCCCTTTCTACACCAGCACACTTCTCATGAACTTACACTTTACATGACAGACACTGAATCATGTCTTCATTAATTGTAGATTTAATTACTCCTGATAGCTTTTACTAAATCAGATATGATAATATTTTATTCTTCAACTTGAAAAAGTTAAAAAATATTAGTCCCGATATGGTTTCTATGGTTGGGCCACCAGCCAATATCTTCTTTCTAGACGGTGCTGCACCAGCCCATTCATAGCAATGCAGGCTGGCTTATTGAATATGTCCGTGATTTCGGTTATAACAAAGCAAACAGCCATTGTTAATACAGCCAAATAACGGTGACAGAACACCGTTTTAAATGTTATTAGTAACAACTAAAACACTATTAGCGTCTTACTGATATATATATATATATATATTTTATTTTCATAAATTAGAAAAAAATACAAAAATATTATCATCTTGTAAACTAACCTTGTTTGAGCGTGGATCAACTCCCAATCAAGATCAAGGATTTTAAGCTTCATGTAGTATGCTAAACAATTAACAGGCAGCCCCTACTATCAATAATTAGAAAATAATGAAGGAGGCTCAACAAAAGAACCGGCCAACCGATAGCAATCTTACCCTACCACTTCTTAGAACACCATATGTATCTTTCGATCTTTTCGTACATATAAACATATGAAAAAAGAGTTACATATAGATATAAAATAGAATTTAGGAAGTTTCTTTTATTCACCTTAAAAATCTGCAAGCCATGGAGAATAATCAACACTTTTCAAATTTCTGTCTGCGATTGTTTGGTGATTAGAATTTTCAGAATGTTAAAATATCTGCGTTTCTGTTATTAAATAATGTACAGTGGCTGATATTTGTTTTCGAACACTTGTGTATTCGAAATTTACTTGCATAGATATTATATTAAATGAAGAAACACAGACTCCAAATATTTTACTAATGTATAACTTTTTTCTCTATTCAAAGCCTTGCTTATTACAAAGCAGGCATCTTAAAATAATTTATCCCCAAAATCCTCGTAATAAAATAATTTATCCTAAAAATGTTAATTAATAACTCACATAATAATTCGGACCCTCGAAAGTTTGCTTCAAATGTTTTGGCAGACGACGTTTCTTGTCATAATTTTTTGTTTTAAATAAGACCGAAATATATAAGTACCAACATCTAAGTTTAGAAATTATTACTAGTTCAGCAAAATATACCAACATTTCGATATTTGAAGTTACGTGGAAAGACGCTACAATTTAAGAACAAGTTCTGTTAGATATTTAATTATTTTTCATTTTTTAACACGATCAAAACATTTAGAATTTCCAGAAAATCTTTGATGTAAAGCATTCAATTAACTCTGAAGCAGGAAAACGATGGAAACCGCATGGAACTGTTAAATGCATTAAAGAGTACATCCCAAGTTAAGACGGAAGAATCGGGGATTTATCCTGCGAAATAAATATGAAACAAAATCTAAAACTTTCAGGGAATTTAGAAAAATGGCTTGCAATATAACTTAACCACGAAACTGTTAAAGGAATCATTAGAATACATGGCTATAATGAGTGATCAGCAGATCAGCAAGAAAGAAATTCTTTGTCAGCAAGAAAACAAGAAACGTACGCCTGGCGTTCGCAAAAATCCATGGTAAGCAAAGATTTATCATCGTGAAACAATACTATATTTGCAGACGAGTCAGAATTCAATATACCGTAATTACTTCTCATTTTCTTACCCCCCGTTTTTTGTTGCCAGTTTTAGTGTACGAAATTCAAAAGAGGAAAATTATGCAAATAATTTAATTTCGAAAACTCGATTAGATTAAGACCACGGCAAATGGAAAGCATTCAGGAATAAACTGCCAGTATCAGAATATTACTTATTTAAAAGAAAATTCCATTCCATTGCGAATACATAGTAATATGAATTGTTGCTCTTATTGCTGATCACTGCTACTGCCTAGGCCTCAAATCAATGAGTGTTGCTTTAATACCGCTTGCTACAGCTTACATACAAGTCATCGCCATCTTCACGCTGTCATCATTTAATCTGTTTTCTCACTTGCAAGGAGCTTCAGAACCATCATAAGCACTCGATATCCCCGTTTTCTTGAAAATGAGTATTATTAACTCCATCAGTGAGAGGTTATACACCAAAATCCAACAGCAAATCTATTATTATGACGAAAACAACTACTACGTAAACAAAACCGTTTTAAAATTTAGGTCAACTTGTTTTCAGATCTCCTTGAGGAAGGAGAAATTGATGTGAATATTTAAAAAAAAATTCATTTTTTTCTGAAATTTGTGCTGAAAAGCTACAGGGAAAAATATGCGAGTAAATATGGTATTTAGGTCCGATGGACAAACTGCAATCTGCAGCCCGGGTGCTAGGCATCTCACCGCCCAGTGCAATCTCTGCAAGGTCTAAATTTTACTGCCAGGTGCCTGCCTATTTATTCTAAAAATTTTTTCACCACTAAATTTCTGCCTCCCATTTTTTCCCTAAATTCTAAAAATTTTTCCATCCTTAATTTTGCTCCTTAGGATTCTCTAAATTATAAAAATTTTCGCTTTCCCTAAATTCTGTTATCTGATGCGTCTCTGGAGTCGGCCCAGGGTGTGTGGCGTAAGCCGAATGAACTGTATCCGAAAAACCTACTGACTACTATCAAGCACAGCAGCAAAGATACAGTGTTTTGGGGATACTTCGTTGCATTTGGGATGGGAAATCTAGTTTTTAGAGAACGTATAATTTGAATCAGTATAAATACTGTTAATGAAAACCTGAAACATCTGTAAGAAAAATTGAAATACAAAATACGTTCAAATTCTATCGGAATAACGATCGTAAACATACAGTTCTAAATGTTCGCATGAGGTTATATTATTATACAACTGTACTGAAGTTACCCAAATTCCTCCACCTTCTTTGTACTGAAGTTCTATTGAACACATAAATAGTAAGTTGGAGAACAGAATGAGCAAACGTGATATTTCTTCGAAGGTTCTACTAAAAGCGATAATCAAAGAAGAGCGGAATTACACGAAAATATTAGCTAAATCCATGCCAGAACGAACAAAATGTGTAAATATAACTAAAGAATATCCGCCACCACACCAGGAAAATGGCCGGGACAGTGGTTAGTGACTCTTACTGTAGTATCGAAGGACTCAGGTTCGAATCCCGGTGGAGGCATTGATGTTTGTAAATGTATACTGTCTGTGTGGCATGGAGGCACTCTAAATCTTTGGCGAGTTGAAATCCTTCCCGAGAGGTTAATGGTAAGGGAAGAGGGGTGGAGGACTCTCGGAACCGTTTCCCCCGAGGTGTTGTCCTTCGAAATTGGTGGCGGAACTGAGCAAAGTCGCACTTCTTCTGTATGGCGCACAAGGCTCTTACGAACGACAGGCGCAATCTTGGCTACTGGCCGCAATGAATTTCGTGGGCTTGTTGTGATATCAAACAAGCGCGATTTCTCACAGCAACGCAACAAAAAGAATATCTAACGAGATATTGAATGACTGATTAGTTTCAAGTTTTTACTAAATGTATGCTGTTTGCCATTAATTTCATATGAGTTTAATTTCAGAACTTTTTGAACGAACTATTTTTTTTTTCCTACCAAAAACATTTTGAATAACTTTTTTGAAAACAAGCAGTTTTTAAAAAAGATAATCCCTTGTATACGTGAAAGGAAAGTAAAGTCACTTCTTCTGCATTTAATCGCTGATGTTTGCAAATTTTAAATAAAAAAAAAAAAAAAAAAAAAAGTGTCCAAAAACAAAGGCGAGCCGCTGTATGTATGCATGTTACTCGCATTGCGGAAAATGGGTGGCAGAGCCACCAAGTTTCGAACATATGTAGTCCTCCCCCGATCATGTGTACTTCGAAGCCCGAATTTCAAATTTGTTTTTATTTATTTCTTATTTTGTACTAATTTAATGAAATTTGATTAAAAGCTGAGGTGTTTAAAACCTTTATGTTGCCATTCTACAAAGCGTAAGATATTTATTTATCTTTCAAATTTAATAAGAAAACTCAGTGATATAAAAGAAATGTGTTACCTCTCGGCAAAACATAATATATTTGACTTTCCAAAGTAATCAACAAACTGAGAGAAATGCGTTTCCATTGCCCGAAAGAAAACATTTTTATCCTCCAAGCGGCAGTAAATTGCCATTTAGCAAAGACATTTAATTTTTATTTCAAATTTTTCCTGTTATTAAGTAACAAACTAAGAGATTTAAAAGCAACAAACGCAGTTCTTGATTTCTGTTATTATTAAGTATTACCTAGATCTGTGAAATTACGTTAGCTGGATTGATTAAAATCATGTATATTTGGCCTAATTTTTCCTTAAGAACAGTTTAGAATCTTGGGTTTAGTATTTGTTTCGCCCATTGTTCTTGTTTTTATCTCAATGGGAATTCGTATTCTTTTTATTATCTTTATATATAAATATTTTAGCACATTATTTTCTATTTTCCAATGGTTATTCAGATTCCTTCCTCTCAAATTTAATTAATTTATTATTTTAGAAACTATTTACATATTACTTTTTATTTACTCAATAACTTATCTAGTTTTTTGGTTGAGAATTTTTTAAAATATTTATAATTTTTGGAGGCCACGTTGGAGCAGATTATATCTTGATGTTAATCAAATTAAAAATAAAATATTTTTACAAATTTTTAAAAATTAACTTTGTTTCACTTTTAAAACACTTTAATTACCTTAATTTTAACTAAATTTACTTTATTGACTTTTTCTAGAATTTCATGAAATGTTTCCAGGTCTTACAATCATCTAGATATAATTCGGAAGCACGGCTCTTGAAAATTCTTCGGCTGCTTCTTTTAAAAACACCAAAAATTGTTAACAAATGTTTTAATATAATATCAGTCTCTTAAATTTTATTAAATTGTTATATTAATTGTTTATATTATTGAAACATTTATATTTTTATCTTACTATAGGTATTTTCAACTGGAAAGTAGCTAATCACCCACCTTTTACTATTTAATTATTATCTCTTAATTAATTAATTTATTTCGCCGCACTGCGCGATTTATATCCTCTTAATTTGAAACTTTTCAGCTTTTTTTATATACATAAAGAAAAGTTTTTATTATATGTATAATAAATATATTACGCATATTACAATATATATGTTATTATTAATAATAAGAATTTTAGGCGGCTGATAGCATAAGCTGCTGGTATTAAGAAAATGTGAAAAATACAAACACATAAATGTTCAAGAACGGGTGTTTTTTTAGTTGTGCTTATCAAGAACATAGCAGTGTTGAATCGACTAAAGGTGTGCGCACAAGCTCTATAATCCTACATCTATGTCTTCAACATCAAAAGTTTCAAATCACAAGGCCTCTGTATTTATGTAACCAGATGTATATAACGTTTTGACTGGCTGTAACAACATGCATTACTTTCTCAGGTTGAAGATGCTCGACTTCAGCAGCAAATTGAAGCATATAACAAAAGAATTCAAGAATTCGAAAACAAGCAGAGAGCATTTAGACCGCCCAGGATACAGTGCAGTCGAAATAAAGTAAGGCATTTTTCGAGTACTTAAAATCCTGTCACTTCTATAAATAATTTAATTTGTTTCAGCTAATTTGAGAACTTTACGTTTTCATAGGTTTTATTTGTCAATTGCACTTTAACAGAATTTAGTTTTTTGGAACTGGTTGCAAATAAATTATGGAAGTATATTATTTTTAAATTTTGTTTCCATTTATTTTTTATTTCAAAATCTGTGTGTCTTTTCTTCTGCGTAAAATCTGAATAGTTTGGTTTTTTGGTGAGAGTTTTTTAGTTTAATTTTTCATTCTCGCTGCCAAGCAATATATTTAGAGAAATACATTCCCCTGTGGTGAAAGGATATATGAGCTTTAGTTTTCACTCTCCTCGCAAGAGAAATGCATTTAGGAAAATACATTTCCTTTGTGGTGAGAGTATTTTAAATTATTTTTTTCTTCATTACTAGGGAGTTAGATACTCATAAATGGTAAATGATAATATAGTATGTTGTCAACAATATCTGTCAAACTGAAAAATAAAAGGAATGTTTAAGTTAAGACTTTCATTGTTATTTACAAATTTGTAGTTATAGGTGAAGGTTTTAGTTATTTATTATTTACGTGCGTGTTCATTTATATCTGCTATTTAAATTGTATAAAAGCTTACAGATTTTGTTCAAGTAAAGAATAAGCAGAAATAAAAAAATCTAAGAAGTTAATATTAAGTTCCATAATGGTTTCTAAAAGTGCATTTAGGAACATTTTTGTAATTCTTCTATTGTAGCAGATATTCCTATTACTATCCACTCGATGTGTTCCAAAAAACTATTAAGTTTATAGATAATTTTTCAGTGTTTCGATTAAGAGCACATTCGACACGTAATTATTCTTCATGTTTTGGATAAAAACTTAAAAACATTTTTAGAAACACAATTTGATTACCGTATTTCCTCCGCACTTGTTTTACTAATTTTATCAACCAAAATTTAAGGGGAAAAACTATGTGAATAGTCTAATTTCTGAAAGACGCGGTTACAGTAAGAACATAACAGATGAAAAGTAATCAGGAGTTAACTTTTGGTAACTATAAAAAAAGTATTTCTTTAAAAGAAAATTTCATTTCAATAAAAATGCGTAGTTATATTAAAATTACAATATCTAATAAGATATCTTCACTTCTACTTCTCTCTAACTTAAATCTCGCTTTTTCTTAATGTTGCCGCTGCTACTTCTAAGGCATCAAATTATCTATAAATACTTAGAAAAGTTAAATGTACAGCTGATGCGACGAAATCGTAGACTGAAAGTCGGTTTATGTTTGCTTCACTGTGATGGATCGGTTCTTGCACTAGGCTGGCCTAAAGTTCAAGAGTTAGAAAGAAAATTTTCGGCGTGACCTTCGCAGGTAGTTCTTTAGGGTTTGTCTTTCTAAGTAAGATGAAAACATTCACTATATTGACGAATCCATTTCCAAGTTTTAGGAAGTTTTCTGTGAATGCAATGAGGAAGAGAAAAATTGCGCGAAAATTTTTTTAATTTTCAAAACCTGGTGCTAAAAAGCTAGGAAAAAAATACGGGAGGAAATATAATAATAATTTAGATAACTTTAGCTCTCTAAAACACTTTTAGGTGTTCAGGTACCTGAAATAAAATAAAAATAAACATGTTCTAAAGTAGAAAATCATTACGTCGCACAGAAATTGAAAATGAAATCTTGCTGTCTCCTTTTAGCGTAAAAAGAGAGAGTACAGGACGCACACATTTTTTTTTAACGCATTATCGTTATTATTCTAAAAAGTTCCGAGCCAAATCTTGTGAAAGTTGTCACCATGCCTCATTGTAGAACGCAGTGGCAATCTATGGCTGTAAGACGACACGGCTTCTCATTTCTTTTTTAACGCGCAGAGATGGCAATCAAAATAACAACCAAAAAACCAGCTAGAAACGAAAAGGACGGTTCAGCTTTCCAAACCAGAATTCCCCCCCCCCCTCTGCTTCATTTTCTGCGGCTAGGGACCATCTGCTTCGAGAGTACAATCGAAACGAGGTGTGAAGTGGAATAAAACGCCCGTTTATGCTCGGTATTAAAAAATGAAGTTCAAATATAGTTGGTTTTACACCACCCCCTCTCTCTCCCTGTGACATTTTAGTCCCTTCCTTTTAAGAGGAGATAATAATAAAAGGAAAGAGAGCGAGCAAATGAATGGTAATGAGCGAGGACTCGCGTGCCGTGCTTCTAGAACAGGATGAGACAGCTGTCAAACTGAAATCCTGATCCATTCTTGTCCAAAATTCTGTGTATCACAAAAGAATACAAGGTTATTTAAAATATCATGAAAGATTTTAATATTTCATAATAAATAAATTATGCATCCGATACTAAATTTTATTTTGCTAAAATAGTAGTAAATTTAGTATAATTTCTTTTAAAATTTACTTATTTCACAAATTTCGGATATCTTAACTTTACTGATTCGGCAAATATCTTTGACATCTTTTGACATGACTTGAGTATATTAGAAAGATGGCGTATGCTACATTTGAAAGAAAACGTTAATTTTTACCTCTTTCAACAAAGCTATTCACGAACACACAGACAGTTATCGAGGAGTCTCAATCAAAATTTGATGCAAAGATCATCTACGAGAGTATCTCAGCTAAAATTTAATATAGAGATGGATATGATGAAGTGCATGAGAAAATGGCGCGTTATTGCGTCGTTCCTTCATGTGGCCATGGGGTTTTTCCTTGCAAGGATAGAGGTTTTTTACCTCCATTTTCACTAATGTCCAGGATATTCGCAACTGCGTCGGGTTTATTCTGGTCGATCACGTCCTGGTACATTGATACTTTTATAAGACTAAACGGATTATCACAGGGGGAAAATAAAGGACTAAAAAGATTCAGATTTTAACTTCGCATTAGAAGGTTTGTTAAGGATTTTTATGGTCTCGCAAAGCTTGCAGTTTAAAATCTACTCTTGGGTCCACTCCCACTAGCATAACATTTTTTTTAATCTTTTAAACTTTATTATTAAACATAGCTTTCATACTTGGCATATAAAATTTAACAGAAAATTCCCAAAAATTTTTAAGAGCAGGATTTTTTAAGAATTCTTAATAAAGAGTTAAGCCTTTTTTTAATATATATATTATTTCTTTAAAAATAATGCTTGGCGATAACATTTGGTGGCAACATCCTTTTTATTTAAAAAAAACACGAATACAAATGTGATACGGACAAATAAGCGAAGATCGAGATTAATAGTAGCTCTAGTGCTGAAATGTTCCATATTTTTCCCAAAATACCAAATTTTATTACATTAAATTATGGGCGAAAATTTGCGGATGAAACTTACATCTGAAAATTTTTTGCTTTGCATCTCATGTTAAAGGAATAATAGCGTTAGTTTTCCATTCACTTTTTTTCTGAGCAGTCCTGGGCTTTATAGTTTCTTAGTTTATCTTTCAGATTATGACTGGTGATGCTAACTTGAGCAATTTAAATCTATAAGCATCCTTCATAATTTATTTTTATTTTACTTTTTAATAATATATGTAACTGATACAATCTGCAATGTATTTAGTTGATAAAATCCATGCATTAAAATATGTTTCTTGTTAGCTCCAGAGGCGTTCCTGTTACGTTTTAATAAAGAATTTCGCCCCTAAATGCTGTCAGTTTGTATTAATTTTAAAGACATAATACAGCAATTAAGAAAACAACACTTGGTGGAAAGTAAATGAAGGGCTACCTTTAAAGTTTTTGGTATATTAAGGGGACGGTGGATTTTAAAATAGCTAAAAATCAGCCAAAATATTGAATTTGTTTTTTTACTCTCGTAATATTCCACATACGTGACTACATCATATGCAAAAACCCGAGCTCAAATGTTCTAATTTTTAAAGAAGTTACAAGCATTTAAAATGTGTAAACAGCGTAAACTTGCCCTTTAAATTTTAGAGAAAATGTTAAAAAAATGTATTTCAATAACTATTTACTGATGTTATAATTTATATATTTGACCAAAAGAAGTATTTATTTCTTAAAAAAGGCTAGAAATGTCAAGTATTGACAACTATTAATGAATTTAACTTTGGTTATGTAAATGCTATAGGCATAGAACAGGAGGAAGCCAACACGTTTTCCCTACTCGTTTGCAAAAAAGCGTGATCAACGATTGAACCAAAGCAAAAAGAGAAGTTTACCTGTTTGGAAAAAAATAGAAATAATAAAAAATATTGTAAAGCATTAAAAAATAATGTAAATGTAACAAATGAAGGTAAAACATATGATGCGGGTAAATTTTAAAAGTTTCATTGGATATAATGCATAAATTGTTTCTGCCTCTAACTTCGAATCACATACCAATTTGTGATATGTTTATTTTTCTCAAATTTAATATTATAAGATTAAAAATAGTTAAATGATACGAAAATGTTATTCATATTTAAAGTTAATTTGCTGTTTCGCATGACCATGTATTAAAGGCAAGTTTGAAGAAAAACTTTAAATTCGGTTTTCTCAAAACAAATTTTTTCGCAGTTCGTGTGTCTTGAAAATGCTCTGTGCGTCTCATTTTTAGTTAAAAATGAATGATATTTGGAAGAAACTGTCTAGTTATATGTTACAGTAGATCTGTGAATGGATTTTTGGATATGATGCTATTAAGAAGTTTAAACTTGTGATAATGTTTAAGAAAAAGGTGACTTTTTTCCGAAAACTGGGTTCAAGTTCACAAAAATCCTTTTTAAAAATCTTAATTTAATTTTAAATCATTAATTAAAATAATTAATTATTTGTTTTAAAAATTTTTAATTTAAAATAAATTGAAATTTTGAACATATATTTTATAAATTGATATTATAGTATGTATATGTATAAAAATTTCTTGCTGAAACACAAAAACTTAAAAAACTAATTTTAAAGTCCACCGTCTCCTTAACAAAGAAATCAAAAGGTTAAGGCAATTTTAAATTAAATATAAAAATTATATTACATATACTTAACATATTTTATGGAAAAAATGGGGTCCTTTTGCTATTTGAAATGAAACACTTTTTAAGAATACAGAGAAAGAAAAATCTAAAGTGCAAAATAGTGTAAGGTCTTACATCCATTTTAAATAAAGCTCCAAATGATAACTGAATTACAAAAGGCGCCATGTTTTCTACTAACAAAAAGGCAGAGACATTCGACTCTATTTTACAGCATCGATCTCCCTTTCTTCACTGTCTGGTTGCATGAACATAATCTAGTTTGGGATCTCACAGCACCCGTTCTCACCACTCACAGCTTGTTATTCTTGATCTTAATCTCTGCAGAGACCTCGCAATGATTCCCCAGCCTTCGAAAGGAGGGTCTTTCCTCTCTCGCCTCTACTCATTTCAGTACATCGTATGCCGTGTGGAACTTCCTCACACTAAATCTTCCCAGGCATGGGCATAAAAAATTTTATTTCTTACATTTCACCTTAAATAGTTAATTACTGAGATAATTATGAAAAGTTTCCTCTAATCTATATGAAGTACCGATAACAGCGGAATAAAATTATTATAAACATACAACACATAGACAAGTATTAAAGATGCATGGACTTTGCCTTTACTTCCCTTGCCAAGGAAATGGTAAATGCGAACATTAAGGTTTCTAAAGCTAAAACCCGATCAGTGGCATTCCATTATGTGAATTGCTGTTAATTATTATCCGATGCAAAGTGCTCAGGTTAGACATATCCAGTTTAACTATCTTTGCCCTTTTTAAATCAATGGTCTCAAACTCAAGTGTAATAGAGAGTCTCTTTTCTTTCTTAATAGTCTCTGCGATACAGAGCACGGAACAGGACAATTTTCTAGTTGGAAGGGTAATCATCAGTGTTTTTATTCAATTTGGCATCATCCATTTTTCTCATACACTTAATAAAATTCTCAGTCTCACGTAGATGATATTGCACCCGCAGAGGAGAAAGCATTAAGCATCTGGGAGAAGTTTACTTACGCCACCAAATGCGAAGAAGAAACCACATGAATTATTAAAAAACTTAATGAATTTATCTCTATTTGAAAGCAATAAAATTTGGTATCGATTACATGATTTACTTATTATGGAATTTTGAAAAGTTTTACCCTAAATTATTTATAAATGTGTTACGTACATATTTCAAGAGTTTAAAGGGTACAAAGGAATTTAACTTAATCAAAGATAAATACACTTTTTGACATATATGTTCCAGTTTCATAAGCAACATTTCGTTATAAATAATGCAAAATCTGGAATTTATATTTTAAATCAAAATTGGTTGAGAATTTTTTTATTTTAAAAAGTAAGATTTTTTAATTTTTGAAATTTAAATTTAAATTAAGAAACTAAAATATTTAGATTGCATTATGTTGTGTATTTTGCTCAATGCGTAGACAAATATCAGTTATATACAAAGAAATTTGCATAGAAAAATTAAATTAACACAGCTGACTGTGAAAGAAAAATTTCAGTTATATTGCTCTTAAATCTTTCTTAGAACACAACCCACTTAGAATAACTAGTCATTTCTTTAACTAATATTAGATTAAACTTATTCCGTTGATATTAGACTAATCAAATTAATTAAATATTGCTATTAGATCAATTAAATATCTACTAGAAAGTAATTATGGTGCATCATCTTCGCTACCCATTCAAATACCACACCACCTATCACTTCTTAAGGTGGTCAATGTATTTAAGAACATTTATAAACACTGGAAATTCTGAGACGATCATCCACGTCCACTCTCAAAATTCGGTCATGTTCAGAGAGAATTTGTTCATTGTACCTTTAATAAAGTATATTTAATAGTAAGCAGAAAAGAAACTTTAGTTTGGAGTAGATTTTGATTGAAACTTTATCGATTTCACCCTCAAAATCTATGCCAAACTAAGGTTTCTTTTCTACCTAAACTTCAAAACTGAACTGAATTGAAATGAATTGTCGGGAGAAAAGAATTAATAATAATAAGACGGTGAGAAAGCAAAGACCACCTCATCTAAGCCGTCTTAATTGACGAAAGTTAGTTCTTACTGTCTCACAAAAGTATATGTTCGAGAAACGGAGGAAACAGGAGAGAAGGAATCGACGGCTGACGAATCAGGACGAATTTGAGCTTAGTCGAAAAATGATGAATCGGCACTAAGCCTGGGGAATTCTTTTATCCAAGCTAGGGCTAACAAGGATGGAAATAAATGTCTTTTTTGTTTCTCTCTGCTTTAGCTGAGCACCAACGGAAATTCGAAAGCTTGATCATATCTTTGCTGAAACAAGCTCTTTATTGCTGAGGTACTAAAGTCGACTACAAGCCGAATTTTTGTGCTTAGTGAAAAGTTGATTGAAACTGAAGAGATTTCTTCTTTGAGCATGTAACTCAAATATTATTATCGGAAGAAAGTTGTAAAACCCAGTCGTTATTCGTACACTCAGTGTTGAGTGTGACTTACGAGCTTAACAAAACTAATTTAAATAGAAATTAGTTTCTGCAATAAAACTCGAAAGTAAGCACAACTGGAAATTTTATTTGTAAGTTTAGGCTATGGTTAGGCTGATTTAAAGATAATTACAATTCTCATCTTCAGGGTTAACAAGTCTCATTAGCTTTTAAATTAATAACAAATACGTGACGTGTAAATAAAGCAATGAGACAGATATTGCTTAAAATCTTTTATTTAATTAAAATTACGGTTTCATATTGTCGCTTCCAATTAATCCCTTATGCAACCACAGAACGGTGGAGAATTTTTTTTTTTTTTTCTCTTCGCAGCAGTACTGGAACTCGAATGGAAAAGAGGTTACTCGAACTCAAGGGGCGGAGGAGCCACAGGTTTTTTTTTTTTTTTTTCTTCCATTTGCTAAGAGCTCATTAATTGGGAATGCAGTGTGACGAGATGCACTCTCGTGATGCAGCAGGCTTGAGTGATGCAACAATCTTTATTCTTGATTTCTCACACATGACTCTTTTCGAAGTTTCGAAGTTACTATTTTAAGAACTCCTTAAACGTGTAGGTTCGCTGTTTAGCCTGGAGGCACAAATTCTTTGTAAACAATTCCAAGATCTCGGATAATAGCAACATTTTCATCAGTTCTTGAAGTTCCAGGCCTTCTACTGCAAGGATTATCTTCAATCGATTCCCCTTGTTCTGAAAATGACTTAAACCGCCTTAAAACCTTAGCCCTTAGAAAACATTGTCTCCATAGGTCTGAAGCTTTTAAAAAATTTCTGTCTCATTGTGCGCGAGGGTGAAGCAAAATTTGATAGCACAATGTTGCTCCTTGATTTCACTCATTTTCAAAACGTACTAGGGTGTAAAAAAAACTCTTAGGGATGTCTACGTGTTTCTAAGCAGTTCAAACTCGTACTGATTTTGCATCGAATGTTTCCTTCAAACAGGAAATCCACGGTGTTGCTAAATCGAACGCTACGCTTCCAATTATTTTATTTATATGTCTCGCATACGTATGTATTGGAACTTATCTCATTTGCCTAAGAGTAACATCAGAATTAGACGAGGGCTTGGTCACCTCATAGGCGACGGTACGACATAGATAACTCTGTCCCAATTTTGATTGAGCACACCCCGCGAACTGATCCAAGGGTCTGCCCCTCTTTCCCTGCTACCAAGCTTCTCGAGAGACTTTCAGTTAGTCGTGTACGTTAAAGCTTCATTCAAATGACGGTTTTGTAGTCATTAAGCTTAGGGGTTTAAGGCATAAAAGTCCATTTGCACCTATTTATCAGGTTTTAAATTACAGCCAGTCAGGGAAGGGAAAGTTGCGCGTGAGTGAGTATATAGCGGACTCAGTGAATCCATCGGCCGGATGTCTGCTTCGCTGTGATTGGTGGTTCTTACACCAACTTGGCATAAAAAAAGTTAGAATTTTGGGGCAAAACCCTTTAACTAGTTTTTGTGACGTAGCATGGTCTGATTGCTTATCAACGAAACTCAGTTTAAACCTGCGTTGAGTCATCAAGGTTTTTGGGCCCACCAGCGGCCGAGCAATAAAGTCGCTGAACATTGGTAGTTCGGTCTGAGGTTCGAATTCCGCGAACGGGCTGGCTGCATGGATGTTTTCGTGGTTTTCCCCATGTGTACGTGTATACGAGCCAGTTTCCCTTAGAAAGTCCTCCACGAAGGCATTCCTCCTCTTAGGCAGATAGCTCTAGTGTGTTTTGCCGTAATTAAATACACCAAACACCATCAAGGTTTTGAAATAGGAGACGTGAAAAATGTGCAGTGCCTGAACTCGAACTATGAACCTCTAGTATACGCTTCGAGTAAACTTCCACTTAAACCACGAAGGCATGCGAAAAGGAGGGAAAAAATATCTTATACCTGCTATATATCTTAAAACCACAATGTGAACGAATCTTACGGATCTTAAAGCCGCGCAGATAGTATACATTTACAAAAATACAAGCTTTCTCGAACCCGAACTCAACGATACAGCAATCAGCATCGCTAACCACTATACCGATTAAGTTAGCAGAAGTTTACACAAGTCACATTACTCAATAAACTCTTCTATGTTTGGGAAATTTTCAGGTTCTCAGTTATACTTTTAAAATCAGATATCAGTTGCTGATAAATGAAGTCATACTTCTTCACCAGTGTATGAGCTTGCTTTGAGTTAAAAAAGTACTTAATTTTATAATGTTAAAATTATTATTTTTTAATTCGCATGGTACTCCTTACCATTATTATTATTGTTCTAGGATCATTACACAGAGGAACTGAGTCCGAGAAGCTCCGGATCTGCGAGCAACTGAAACTGATATCAGAATTATGTGCATTACCCCTCCATGTAAATAAACTGACTTAAGTGTAAATATATGTAACTTATTTGCATTTTATTGTACTTTATAATAATATTATTCCATTATGTATGAAGCCTAAAATAACTATGACAATATGTAGATTTTTATGAAATACAATGATTTTATTATGTTTATTGACTTTTTATTTACGAAAAGTATTTTTGCTTACTGAATGTGAAATTCGTAAAAGATATTGATTACTTACATTGCACAGTAAAATTGCATTTAGAAGACAAACACTTATGAATGAATCTGGCTGTCATGTAAACCTGCATGCTGTTAATGTACATTTATTTATTCTTCTTCCAAAAAATTTGGATTTGCTGAGAAAATTTTCTCGTTTAGTCGGTTGTATTCCTGTAATAAAGCAAATCTTATTGTTTTCTTCCTAAATGCTGCTAATACCATCTGTTAATGACAGGCTTTTCTTTTTATCATGGATAATACCCCTAAAAACTTATTACTAGTAGCATTAAGAATAGACTAATTCAAATTACACTTAAAGCGATTGAAATCATAAAGTTTCATTAACTGAGCGCAATTATATTACTTTTAAGATTATTATCCACAAAGTATCCAATTTTTTTTAAATAAAGATTTAATTTTTATGTTGTGCTCTCTCTCACTCTGTCTGTCTGTCTCTCTCTCTCTATATATACACAGATATATGATACAGATACGTGTACATTGTGTATGTGTACATATGTATGTTTTGCAATTAAAATATCTTACATTTTTCCAGAATCCTTTTAAAACCTAGACTTTTGCAATGAAAAATTGGCAAGAAAAGCTCGACTTACGCGAGTAAACACGGTTGTATGGTTTAGTAAGTGCTGAGCGCCGCCTGAGATAACCACTGACCTGACTGTTGTAAAAGCCGTACAGTGTTAATAGCCATCGTGGCAGAAGGGAAAATTTCCTCCGTGTAAAAATATACATATAAATATTACATGGGCATACAACGCCTGTGTATAAGCATAGATATGTTGATTACAATCATTGTCTTGTACGAGTTACATATGATAGATACATAAAATCATGACAGCTATGTGAACATTTAAACATTATATGAATTCATATTTACAATACTTTTACTGACATAATCAAATTAAACTTGTAATTCATTTACACATTGACTGGATTTTCAATATCATTTAAACTGCTTTACAATATTATTTATATCAAGTACATACAAAATGGATAGTAATATGCTTACATTACAATAGTTTTGCTCTTACAGTCCTGTTATTATTCTACGGGTTGAGCTATTTTCCTAGTGTTGATATTCAGTTGTTGTAATATTTTGAATTGCTATTAAAATTATGCTGCGAAGATACAATTCTCAAGAGAGGGGGAGAATTTCTTTGTGTCTTGCTGAGCAAAGCCTGATTACCTCCTCTATTTTAGTTTTCGTCTGCTTGTTGCCGCGGGTATTCTCCGCCCATTGCGGCCAGTATTCACTGCTTGGCATTTTTAAAAATGCAGTTTTTATCGGTTTGTGGGCAGTTGAAGAGGAAGTGATCTGCATCACCTACCGCACCACATTCACACAAATCTGATGTTCGTATGCCGAATCTCTTAAGGTAATGTGGGAAGGGACCATGGCCAGTGTAGAATTGAGTTTGTGCTCTGCTGTATGTATTAACTGAGCACGTGACTTTTAGAAAGAACTTGTAGGTTCTCCTCCCTGTGCTTCCCTTTCCCATCTTTTCTGCCATTCATGTAAAAGGCTATTGAGCGTGTTTTTTTAAAATTTGCTAGTAAGTGCTGGAAGCTGCCACAGGGTATTCGTAACTTACACTTTGATTAAAATGATAATAAACGTGATTTTTTAGCCTTTTTTCTTCTCTCTCCTTTTTTTGTTTAAAAAAACAGGGGAAAAACATTATAGATGTATTAGTCTCAAAACTCACTTCTGTAACCGAATCACTTTTCAAATTGTTGCTTGTTGCTACCAAATGCTATATCATGATGTGTTATTAAAAAAAAAAAAAAAAAAATCAAATAAAGTTTCAAAGAAATAGTATATCAAATATAATTTTAAAGAAATAGTATATCAAATAAAAAAAAAAAAAAGTGTTCATCCTTAAAGCTTTATAGGAATACTAAAGATATACTGTTTTTAAATAGTTTATGATTTTATTCTTAAATTTTCTGTGGCGTAAGTGCGGAGAGGAAGCGATGCTTTATAATAAAGTTAAAAGTCTTAGCACGAGTGAGTCTAATAGCAAACTTGTAATCTTTGAAGTTTAGGGAAATCATAAAAAAACTTAAGAAATTCTCTCGTGCGATATTAAATCTGAATCTTTGTGAAACTACTCAAATTTAGCACTCAAAATAATAGAATGGCTAAAAAGAGTACAGATTAGAGGTTCGAATTTCTAGTCCATGTTAAAAATCTCAGTATTCGAGAATTTTAAGGATTTGAATGTTCCATCTTTAGTAAGTATGAGCCAGTTTCACTCAGAAAGTCTTACACGAAAGTTTATTTTTATTTAAGCATATAGCCTTCATAGGCCTTTGACATATTCATTTAACAAACAAACAAAATGAATATTGTTATGATTGCTCAAATTTCAGCTAATTTGTTTTAATTTTCACAGTGCCTAATGAGGGGTTTGATTTTGATGATATCTTTCAAAAAGCCTTCCAAACATACTGAAGGCCCAATAATGGCCAACATAAATAAACTATCTAAGGGCATCTGACGTACAATTCTCAAACATTGAATGACATACGTAGTTAAGTAACATTTTTGTTACAATGCGTAACATGAACCAAATTCTCTTAGAAAGTTGTCCGCGAAATGATTCCTTTTGAAAAATGAAAAAGGTTGGCTATTTTACCGAAATGCCTGCCTAACTTAACTAATTAAAACTGGTGCTTCCTTACACGAAACGTTACTTCCTTTACTACTTTTAGTTACTACTTTTTTACTACTTTTAGTTTTTACTACTTTTAGTCGTTACTTCCTTACACGAAAATATATTATTTTTTGTATTCAATAAATTATATATTTTCGTGTAAGGAATTTTAAGAATATTCATTTTTCAAAAGGAATAAAATGTGATACAATATTTTTTACACAAAGATATTCATTCAAGGGCATGTGGAAAGAGAGATAAAGTTCTCTCTTATTGACCCCGGGTTGGGCTTAAATTTGAAGGTTTTGAGAAATTTGGGGTAATTTGCGGCATGAAAGAGGTATTTCCTTGCCCTTGGTACTTTATACCCGGATTCTTTCTCGTTTAATATACTGCCTTAATTTTTTGGACATGTTTGAAGATGCACATATATATACTGTTAGTATTATTCTGCAAAAATTAGAGAGTTTATTTATTTATCTGCTTATGCTTTACAAAAATTATTCTAGGACATCTATCTATCTGTGTATATTTATATTTATGCTTCTAATCAGTTGGAAATAATTTCACATAAAAGCTAAATTTTATAAATTGCGGGAAAAACTGTGCATTATTCTCCCAAATAAAATCTTTGATTATAATTGTTCTCTCTATCTGAACAGAATTAAAAAGCTGCGCTTACATGTCACGTTATTTCAATAAATCACCTGATACATAATTTTTTCGAACAATATGATGTTTCTTTACTGCTATACCAATTCTTTCAAGAAAATTTTCTGTTTTAAGAAATTCCAAATAAACATAATATTACTTTTACAAATGAAATTTGAGCATGTTTACAAAATTTTGAAAGTAGGTAAGGAATGTTGACAAAATGTTTAGCTTAGAGAGAGGCAATAAAAGTGGGAAAAAGCTAAAACTCCTTTTTTTTTTTTTATTTGCGGCGGGGGAAGGGGCTGAAATCGGGTTGCGTTCTCCATTAAATAATGTCTATTAAAATGCAGACGTGAAAAGCTTTTGTACTTAATCGAAAACCTTTATTATTAGCCTGGTGAATACCTGCAGAGCAGTTTGGTGAATGAGATGGGCGGACATCTTCAATAAACTTGCTAGAAGAAATGGAGGGTGCTCCACAATGCACGAAAATGTCTTTTAGCATTTGACTGACACTTTATTGAGAGGTTAAGTGGTAGGAAGTCTATAAGCATTTGAAAGAAGATCTTAACAATGGCTGCCTCCTGCCGCGTCGGGTCATAATATTGTCAAGCAGTTAGTTCTGCTGTCAAAATAAATCGGTCTAATAATCCGAAATATTGTCATTCTTACGTTTGATTTTTATAACTATTATTGAATAGTTAACACTAATAAGTACAGTAAGTAAATCAAAATTTCTCATTCATGCAAAATTTTTTCTTCTTCCTTCCCCCACATCCTCTATTTTTTAAAGGCTTTTTTTGTTTCTTTCCTAAATCATCAAAACAAAGAGCAGATTAGTTAAATTCAGTTTACTAATTAAATCTAGTAAATGTAAGTTAAGCAGATTAATGATTTCAATATTCACTATTAATTAGTATTCTGAGGGAGTTAACAATGAAATTCAAGAAGTTTGTTGCTCGAAAGTTAATGCTGAAATAAATCAAAATATGTAATTAAAAATATGTAATCCGAAAACAAAAATCAGATTATAAAGTCGCACCAGAGGGTTTGTTAAGAATTTTAATGCTCTTGCTGAGCCTGCAGTTTATATGTTGCTTAACAAGTTAATTATAGGTTCGAAAATCTGAGCCGACACTTTTTAAAAAAACCAACATTTATTTTTCACGTCATTTCTTATTCTACAAAATCTTAAATGCAACTAACTATCAAACAGAAAAGCAGACGTAGATGTAATGTATTTGGGCATGTGATCCTCGTGACAGACGAATTCTTTAGGGTTGCCACAGTGTCGCCACATTATATATCTGATCTTGGACTCACTTCTGCTGATAAAATGTTTTTGGTATTTTATTAATTAGTGACTTGGACAAAAAGGGGATGTGGACAAAGATCTGAAGATCGAGAATAATAACTGCTGCTATGGTACTAAAAAGAACCTTTAATGTTTGTGTTAATAAAAAAAATTTATTTTTAAATTACCTAACTTGATTACACGAAATATACTTTCTTTAACATATAAAACAAAGATTAATTCCCTAGAATTTCTACGAAGATTGTCCGTAGTTACCCATATTATAGAGAATTTTAAGTCAAACTAAAGGATAAAGTTAATGATTTCATACTGAAATATGCGTTCTATTGTATTTACAGAAAATCAAATCTATTTTTCTCTTAAGATTTTCCATCATATGCCTTTAAAATTTATGAATGAAAACATTATAACTAAATCGAGAATTCTATTACTATATGTTTAGAAATAGGCCATTATTTATACTGTCATAATTTTTAGTCCAAACGAGCAATTTGCCCAGAAGGACTATTAATTTCATTTTGGCATTTTGTGTTGATTCACTACAAACGTTATTTCACTTTCCAAATTGTTGCCACCAAATATTATATTTAAAGAAATTAAATAATGAAGAATCTGCATAAATATATGTATGTTTCTCGCATTGTGATAAAACAACGGTACCTAGACCCATCAGATTTTGAATAAGTAATCCTCCTGCGAATATGGGCATCTGGA